GAGGAGGAGGAGGAGGAGGAGGAGGAGGAGGAGAGGGAGGTCGAGGAGGAGGAGGAGTAGGAGGACGAGGAGGGAGAAGGAGCCCCTGGCCCGCTCCTTGCCACTTGGTCGGCCGCCTTCCCGACAGACCCCGCGGGAGAGGCCGCGAGGCCCGGCGCGCGCGCTCAGCGCCGCCATCGGGTCGGAGCGGCCATGCCGAGCGGCATCGATGGCGCGCTCAAGCAGATGAAGCTGACTTCGGAGGCACGGCCCACCTGTCATGGCGCCAACATCGCAGAGCGGATTTTGTTCGGAAGACAGTAGGATGGGCCTCGAGTGTCCTGGAGAATTTCGTTCCCGATTTCGAAGTGAGTTTCGTGCGGATTTTTGGCCAGGAATTAAGACAACAGTCACCCACGTGAATCTCACTTCGTTTTTTGCTCGCCGTTTCGGGGTCTTGCATTGACAGAAATTCACGTACAATTCCGCTGCAGCACGTCTGCAAGGTCGGTGCAGTGACACCTGAGCGACGCAACAAAGGGGGGTCGTCTTCACGGACACTGGCGCGTAAGCTGCCCGCGTAAGGTCGCGCATGATCGCTCCGTGATTCTAGCGCAGCGTGCTGCGCTGGCGGTCCGCGGAAGCCGCCGCGTGAGGTTGCTACGCCATCTTGCGTAAGACCCGTTTCTTTTCGTCGCTCACTTCGCCTGAGATCTTGGCCTTGCAATATTTCACTACTGGCATTTTTATGATTTCGGGCCCCGGGCCCCTCTCAGGTCGATGCGTCTCGGAAAAAAGGCGCAGCAAGATGGGGTCTCCGGCTCCAGTCGTGATTCGCGACGTTGCATTTTTCCCGCAGCTTCTGATTTCAGGGTACGGGTCCGAGATCGATTGCGGCCAGCCTTCTCTCGGGGGCGGCCAAGAGGGGGGCGATGACTAGGGGGCAGTTGTCATCATGGCGTGGGCCATACTATTTCCCCAGATTTCATGGCGCCTCTTCTTACAGTCGGGGCCTTGAAGAAGGAACGCTTTTCGTTGGGGAGGGGCTTCGTGTTCCTTGATTGTTTTACAGTTTGCCTTGGGTTTCCGTTAGGTTTTTGTATGGGAAATCGAAGTTCAACTTGTGGAAAAGAGGGGCCTCGTTCCTTATTTAGGGTTCCTTCGGTCAACGCCCCGGCTGTATCTCGTTACGTCCCTGGCCCCCCCTGGCCCCCCCTGGGCCGCGCACGTGCCGCCGGCCAATGGTCTGCGCCCCCCCTCTTGGCCGCCTCCCTCTTGGCCGCCCCCCGATGCTCGTGTTCGCTTGCGACGCCCGGGCGATCCCGTGCGGCCCGATGCCGGCGCGGCGCCGCTGTGCGTCCCGGCTCGGTCGCGCTCCGGTTCGAGATCTCTCCGACTCCCGTGCCTGGCGAAAGGGGGGGATTGGGAAAGGGGGTTTACGAAATTTGCTGCATGCAGCTGGTTTCGGCCTCACCGAGGGGCCCATTCCTCGATACATAGCCGCCTCAGGCGCCGGGAGGCGCCGGGCAAATCAGCTACGTGAGCTGATTCTCACCCCCCCCCCTTCCCCCCCTTTCGCCCGACCCGAGACTCCCGTGCCCGTGCGGCCCGCTGCGGCGGGCATTGTCCGCAGTGAGCCAGACTTCTGATCCGACGATGGCTGATCCTGCCGACTTGACGTGTGGCGTGGAAGACGGTCAATGGAGAGGAGGCGTATTGCCAAATCATTTTTTTCAGATGTCTAAACACACGTTTAAGACATGTTTCTAGAGTGCTGTAACATGTTTGAGCATGTTTCGAACGTGTTTCAAACATGTCGACGAAAATTTGACGACATTTTCAGTTCAATGATAGAACGGTTAGAGTGTCCATTGTCATGGCATCCACAAGACGAGGGCTCATCCTGTCGACTTGACGTATGAGTGACCTTTCGCTGCAGTGACCTCCGGTGCGGGCCCACGGGGGTCCCTCGACCGCCGAGCGCGATGCGACACCAGCGTCGTGCGCGCTTGTGTGTTCGTCCCCCCCACGGTCCCCCCCCCCCTAAAAAAACAAAAAAAAACGCGCACGAAAGGCCCCTCCTGCCCTGGGCCACTCTTGCGTGCAGCCGGTCCTGCGGAGGCGCCGCCGAACAAGATCAACTACAACGGCTGGGAAGGGCAGGACGCTCCCGCGCGCCCCTCGCGTCCGCGTCCTCGTCCTCCCCCCTCGCCTTCCCTCGGCGGGCCGAGTCTCGCGGCTTCGGGACGCTCTCGTAAGGGCTCCCGGAGGCTCTTCCAGCCTCGGCATGCCTTCCAGCAGCTGCGCCTCGCCGAAAATCGGTCCGGGTTTGAGTCGGGCATGTCTCTCTACAGGAGGGATGACTTCAAACATAGTCAAACAACAGCCTGGGGGCGATTGTTCTATTATCATTGATACTTCTTGGGCATGGTTTGACTCTATTTGTTTTTTTGCCCAACTCCGCCTGCAGGAGGACATGCCCGACTCCTCCAGCCTCGCCAGGCTTTCCCGGCAGCCGCGCCTCGCCGACATCGGCCTGGGTGTGCCCGGGGATCGTCCCGAACCGCCGCCGCCAGGGACCCGAGTGTATCAACTCAGAGGGGAAAAAGGTGCCCATACCTTTCAGTCGGGCCTGTCCCTCGACAAGAGGACTGCTTCAAAACTAGTTCAAAAAATAGCCCGGGGACGATCCTGTGACAATGTTTGACTGTGTTTGATTTTTTTGGGCTTTTTTTTTGTGAATTTTCGCCCCAAGTCCGCCTGTATGGGTGGGGGGGGTGACATGCCCGACCCGACCATACCCCTCCCCTCCCCATCCCTCTCCCCTCTCTGGGCCTCCCGGGCCTCCGTCGTCGCCGCGCCGCCGGACTCGCCCCGAAATTTCCTGGTCGGAGCGCGCGCCCCGAGAGAGAGGTCCGGGGAGGAGCAGCGCTCTATCGGCGTCTTTCGGTGCCCCCATCGGCCGGCAGTGAGGAGCCTAGAGTCTCATCGGGAGCCTCGAGACGGGGGTCAGTGCAAACGGGGGTCAGCCAGGGCGCCAGATCCTGCAGGATCCTGCGACGACCCCCTCTGGCTGAGCTCGTGGCTGCGAGCCGCTCGTGGCTGCGAAGCGGCCGCGCGTATTGGCTGACCCGGGTTTGCGAGGACCTGCGTTGCAGCTTTTTTTTCCTGCATTGCAGTTTTTGGTTTCCTGCTGACCCGGGTCTGGATTGACCCGGGTCAGAAGATCCCCGAGTCTCACTGCTGGTTCCTGTGAGGGGATCTCACTGCGAGACCCCCCCCCCCGCCGCGAGGGCAGGTGGTCGTGAGACGTCGTGAGGGGAGCGCGTCGGTGGAGAGCTCAGCCCCGGAATCGGCCCCGAACCCAGACTGCGTTCGGCCGAAACTCGGAATCGGCCTCAACCGCGAACGTCGGAATTCACCTCGAAACCCGGAATTCGCATCGAAACCAGGAATCCCGCAGAAACGCGGAAGCCATCATTCCGATGGGTCAAATCGGGAATGCGTGTTCCTTTCTTTTCTCTGTCCTTTCTCCTCGCCTTTCGTACTTCCGCTCCGCGGTCCCTTGGCGACGACGGACGATGACAGACGACGACGAACGACCACAACGACGACAGGTGCGCGCTCACGCTCGTCGCGTGCGCTCCCGCTCGCGCGGATCGATGCGGGGGTCCAGATCCCCGACGTCGACATGAGATTACGAGCCACGTGGCGAGCAGAGTGGAGTGCTACTTTTTCGCCCCCGCCCCTCCCCCTCCAGGCGCTACCACGTGGCGAGCAGGAGTGGATCAGTTTTGTTTCGCCCCCCGCGCGCTGCCGCGTGGCGCGTCGAGCGGAGCAGCTTCTGTTTGCCCCGTGGCGTTGCCGCTCCGCGCGCCCATCGGCCCGCGCAGGCCTGCCCCAGACTCGAGACCCCTGAGGATGTCAGTGCGGCCGATCCTCGCAGAAGTCTTCCGCACCAGGGCATCGAGTGGAGCATGTGTTCCGCCCGCCCCCCCCCCCCCCCGAGGCGTTGCTCCGCGACGTGCCGAGTGGAAGGCTCTAGTTTCCCCCCCGCGGCGCTGCCACGCCTGGAGTAGGAGTGGACGTTCTGTTCGCTCCCCAGGCGCTGCCCCCTGGCGAGCGGCAGCGGAGTGCCATGTTTTCGCTCCACCCCCCCCCACACGGCGATGCCACGCGGCGAGCGGGAGGTGATCTCGTACTTGTGCCCGCCCCTCGGCACTGCCACGCGACGAGTCGAGCAGAGCGGCAGTCGCGTGTTCGCTCCCAGTGCGTTGCTGCCTGGCGCGTCGGGAGGAGCAGTTGCTGCTCTTCCTGTGGCGTTGGCGCTCCGCGCGCCCCTGGGCCCGCGCAGGCCCGCCCCAGAGTCGAGAACCCCGAGTGTGCCAGGACTGCCGATCCGCGCAGGATTTCCCAAGGTCTGGGCGTCCGGTGGGCAGGGATTGAAAAGCCCGAGCAAGGCATTGCGCCATTGTCGTCATTCTCGGGGGCTCCTCGGAGGTCCAGCAGAGTGGGCTGTCACGCGCAAGCCGTCGAGATATGTTGGGATCTTTCGGCTCCTCGGAGCGCTGCTGATTGCGCAAGTGTCGCTACTTTCGCCGGACGGGGTGTCACGCACCCCGTAAGAGATCTCGCGGCTCCCCGAGGGTGCTGCGAATTGCGCAACTGTCGGCGCTCACGTGGGCTCCTGGGAGGTCCAGCGGAGTGGGGTGTCACGCAAACCTTGTCGAAACCTTCTGGCTCTCTTGGGATTCTGGTTCTGGGCGTGGAATTCTGGTTCTGGGCTCTGGGGATTCTGGGTTTGGGCCAGAATGGATTCCAGGCTTGGCTTTTCGGGAATTCAGGGTTTGTGCTTCCGATTCCAGGTTTTGCCAGAACGGATTCCGGTTTCGCCTGTTTGGGGATTCTGGGTTTCGCCGGGGTAAAATTCCGGGGCTCGCCTGCCGACCGACCGAGTCGTCCCGGAAGTTTTTGGCCGCTGCCTGCATGGTACATGAAACCCAGATATTTTCACCTTTGCTTGGCTATTAGCCATGCTCCTGACGACGGCGCGTTGGCAGATGGGATTCAGAGGAGCCCATGGGGAGATGAATAATAATAATAATAATAATAATAATACTACCAACAACAATAATAATAACAATAATACTAATAATAATAATAATAGTAATAGTAGTAATAATATTACTATTAACCATAATGTCTGAATTAAATACAGTAAGTGGGAGAGGGGTGAGCGGGGCCGCATGACATTGCGGCTCAAGCTTTTTGGGGGCCCAGGCTCCCATGAACGAGCTGGTCCTTGAGATTGCTCGGGGACTCTCTACCTCCCTCGCAGTCCGCGCGTCCACGGTCGGCTGCCCTGATTGCGTGTGCCAGTGCTCACCGACGCTGGCCTGTGCGGAAGGTTCCCTGCCTCAGGAGTACACGACCCCGACGGGCCCGAGCGGACCGACGTTCTTCTTCGTTGGCACGATCGTCGGAGCGCTCGGGGTGCTGGTGGTGCAGCACTGCGTGTTCGAGGCTCGGGCCACGCCGCCTGTGCCGGCCGCCGCCGCTGCTGGGCTTGCTCCGCTCACCGACGACGTAGAGAAGGTCGCGCTCCAGCAGCTGAATCTTCTTAGGCAGCGGCGCAAGAATTCGGCGTGATGGCTGCCCCTATTCCAGTGCAAAGCCTCGGCATCGAGGCCGGTGACTTTGGTGCTATCCAGTACAACGTGCCAGGTCCGCCCATCTTTCACGAGCGACTCGTGCTCATCGAGCCAGGTGCTGGTTCAACCGTGAGTGTGCTCACCCCAGATGGAGATGAGTATGACGAGGATTGGCTCCATGGTGCAGATGTAGTGTCATTCGGTTTGATGGCCCTAGGGGCCTGTGGAGGTGATCCTCCTGCTGGACCTGGTGGGGCTGTACTACCTGTTTATCGGTTTCAGAATGTACCCACGCCCGCGGTGTTCAATGCCGCCCGTGCCCGAGCGGCTGCACGGCGGGGAGTGGCGGTGCCGATCGACGGCAAGCAGCCCAACCTGGTCGGGCGCGCGGTCGGAGCCGCCCCTGCCGGGGCCGCCGCCGCCGCGGAGGCCGTCGTGCCGGCCTTGGGCGGAGGCGCGGGCGCCCTGGCGGCTGCGCTTGGACCCGCTCCTGGCGGCGGCCCTGGTGGCGCCGTGGCCGGCGCAGGCGCGGCCCTTGGCGCCGCCGCGGGCGCAGCGCCAGGTGCGGGCGCGCCGGGCGCCGCCGCAGCGGCCGTCGTACCGCCCCCCGCCATCGGCGCAGGCGGGGTGCTGGTGCCCGCCGCCATGGCCCCAGGCGCCGCCGCCCCCACGGTCGCCGCGTTCCCGACGGTGGACATCCGTGTGCAGCCGATCCAGCAGGACGTGAGCGGGGCCCGCTTCAGGGAGTTCAGGTTCGCCGTGGAGGGCATGGTCGAGACGCCCTTGAATGATTTCCCAGTGCGGGGGCCCCGCACTACGCTATGGCTCTGTCGGTTCATGGTGGCCAACGGCCAGACGCCTCTCGGGCGCCATGCTCGATGGAAGGCCGACGCCAAGCTGCAGGTGAATGACGGCGGAGTCGAGCAGCACCTCATGTGCTGTCAGATGTTGGAGAGTATGGCCACGTACGACCAGCTAAACCTTCCCGACATCGCGGCGGCCGAGATCATGTCTCGAACGATCCAGTTGTCTGAAGAGAGACATCGGGACAGGATGCCCAGCATAGCCGGAGGTGGCTCTGATGGCGTGCAGGACGCCTTCTTGTGCATGGGCCTCGACCACGTCCGCGGCAACGTCGCGGTCTGCCCATCCCTCCAGAGCTGGGTGTCGAGCGAGCTGCAGAAGGAGGTCTCGGTCATGAAGGAGAGGCGCAAGGCTCGGGAGGAGAGACAGAGCGCGAAGCAGAACAAGAAGAACCCCAAGAAGGACAGCAAGGATGATGGCTGATCATCCACGGGCGGCGGGACCAGGCCGCCCGCTCGCCCATCTTTCGGAGGCCTTCGAAGTCGGGCCATGCTCTATGCCGCCCGGCCTCACTCGTGTACATATCTCTCCCCCCCCTGGCCTGACGCCACCCTCGGTCATGGACCGTGGCGCTGCTGCTTGCCAGAGCTCTCTTGCCCCCTCGACGCCTGGCCCTAAGCCCGAGCCCGGTCCAGCGACCAGGGGCGC